GCCCCGAAATGCTCTCTCTTTCCAGCTTTAGTCGACCAGACTGCCGCTTCCACCTCATACCTCTTCTTCTCCCCTCATCGGCCACAAATGCCCTCAAAACGAATCGAGCAAGTTAAGCCTCCATCGCTGCCGCAGAGACCTCCTGCAGGGCCGGCAACATGTCACATGTTGCAATCGAGACCTTTTCGGGTTATCGTGAGCAAGTTCAGCTGTCACTCCATCATTTTGCCAGGCACAGACGATGGCGACTTTAGGTCCTATCTCAAATCTACTGACTACGAATATAAGTAATATGATAGAGATTTAAAAATTATTTATTCTGGGTCGCCTAGTCTTCTGCATTCTTCCACACAATCAAATACATAGACCTCAGACTTCCATCATTTCAGTTCACAAAACCTGTCACCCAACAGGCTTTCTGAAATGAACTGCATTCTTGATTTCGCTCCACCGTAACGGGATTCGAAAGTGGACCAGCATTGTCTTGGCAACATTGCCACTTGCAGGAAGTGTTGCCATAGAATTGTTCGCCAAGATGAGAGCCAGGTAAGATCCTATCGCTCCTCTGGAGTTTGTATCCGAGCTTGAATAGCTCTTTGAACAGGAATGTTTGTGTGCAGTGACACAAGATCAAAACTTACTAGCCTACCCTTCTCTGAAAGTGACTGTTGATCAGTCAATTTCACAAAAGCATACCAATTTTGGAATGGAAATGGCCAAAAATGAGCAGTTTTTCTTATTTGTATGCATAGAAAATGTGACATTCTATGCATCACGCTTCCTTTATTATTTACAATTAATCTTAGACGGACACCCTCCTTGTGAACTTCAGGGAGGCACCAGGAATAAGGCTGAATGTAACTTCCATAATTAGACTTAGTAACCTATCAATGAGTAGAGCATAGTTTACCTTTGATGACAAGTTTTATGAACAAAGACAACGATTAGCGATGGGATTATATCTGTCTCCCATCTTAGCGAACAATTCTATGGCAAGATTGGAGGAACACTTCCTGCAAGAGGCAATACCAACATTAAAATTGTGGGTTAGATACAATCATGACTATTTTCTCATCTGGCCTCATGGTAAGGAAAGTTTAGATTGTTTCCTACTTTCACTCAACCAGCATGAAAGAAGCATTTGGTTTACAATAGAAATGGAAGAGAAGAAGTCCTTACCCTTTCTGAATGTTCTCATCATTAGAGAAGAGGGTAAGTTAGGAAGAGATGTTTATAGGAAGCCAACATATGATGGATCTTTGCTTAA